TACAATAAACATGTTTATAATAAATCATTCATATTTTAAACACACCATTTACTATCCTGTATAGAGTGTATTTATCCATATTGCTTTGTGAACTAATATGACTACTAAAGTCTTGTTCTTATTTCTCAGCAACAACTTGTGGGAAGACTTGTTATCAATTATACTTAATTATTCATCATGAAATATTTGAGATTTCCCAAAACTCGAAAGACATTTCTTTTAGAGCAAGGCTGATATATGCAGGCAATTTAAAGGAGCTGGCATTTCAGGTTGGATCAAGAATAAACGTAATGCTTTAATATATTAAGGGATAAGAAACCCGTCATAACTAATAAGATAAAGTATATCATTGTTGCAGGTGATTTTACCAAAATGCCAGCATTCAAATAGTGATTTTGGTAGTTTGAGTCTTAATAACAGTGTCCTATCCTGTTGGAAACTAAGGCCAAAAAACCAAGTAATATTGATCCTACCTTTATTTAAAATTGTGATATTTTGTTCCTCAAGGATGTTTTCTGCATCGATTTCATTTTTAAAAAGCTGCATTAAAACATTATCTTAGTTACTGAGTTTGTGGCACCCTCTTACATCTTATGCCCCCGTGAATGCCCACCCACCTCACTGTAGTCTTAGCCCTGCTTAAATAAGTCATCTCACTAAACTGTATTTAGCCCATCGTAACACAGAAGTAAAAATAAAAGGATTATGATGAAGACTGAATGAGATTGCATGTGTAAGTACTTGTTCACTGTAAATGTTAATGTACAAATACATTTACAAAGCTTTATGCCACTCCAAGAGAAAGTTATTATATTAAATATTACATTTAAAGATGTTTAGGTTTACAGCAAGTGTGAGTCCCATGATTGATGATAGAAACTGAATACCAGGCCTTAGAGGAATATGCAGGATTTTAGACACACCCATCCCTACCGAATCTTATTTAAATTTTTTTTTTAAGTATATAATTGCAGGCTAAGAAATCAATTTCCTTTCCAGGTTTCATAATTCATCTTCATTTGTAATTTCAGTTTATCCTCAGATTTTCTCTTTCCAGTTCCTAAATGCATTCATCAAAAACGAAAAATTAATTTAGGGAGAAACTTCCATGTTTTTCTCTTATTTAAAAAAAATTACAGCTCAAACAACACAGGTGAAAGCCTACAAATATAAAAATTGTTTTTGAAAAAGCTGAGGACGTCAATCTTTTGATTCCAGGTAGGGGGATTTTTCTAGGCCGAAGGGAAGGTGAGAAGCCTCCTGTTCTCCTGAGCTAATGATTGTTTCCAAACTGGTTAGAATTCAGTGCTAATTGCATTTTAAAACACCACCTCTGAAATTCTTTCCTCTCTCAGGATCTTACATCAATGTTTCGCATTTTCAGTAAAACCTTTGCACTTCACCTTTCTCACTCAACAAATCCTGAACTTTAGATCGGCAGGAAGAATTCAGTTCAGATCCTTCCTCTCCCCTGCAGGTTTGTACAGTGGTGATATTAACGCCCAGGAAGCACTGTCCTGCCCTGTTTCTGAGGGGAGAGAGACAATTAAAATCGGTACTTGGGTGATTCTACTCAGGCTTGCCCATTCTAACAGAGTCATTAAACAACTTTCCAGTGTCATTCAAAGAACTTATAACAGAATCAATTGATTTTCATCCTATGCTTTATTGGTTGTGATTTAGGAGACAGAATGGCCCTGTTTATACAGCTGTAACATGTCAGGACCCGCAGTACATTACTGGCTTGCAGCCTCCGAGTTGCAGTCCATTCTCAGCAGAATCAATCTGAACTTGAAAACATTCCCTCTAGGAAATGCGCACATATCTACCAGCGTAAAGCACTTCTTGTACAACTGAAAATAGTATTCACTTGAGGTAAGTTGCAAGTTCACCTTCCAAAAATCAGGCCCGATTTGTCACTGCTCTCAGCATGTTCATGAGAGCAGAGGGCTGCAAATGCCTCTTAACTAGGTACCCAACATAGGTGAATGTGTTCCACTTTGCTGCGAGTCAGATCTGACACTGCAAGTGTGAGTTGCTGGCTGTTTAACATGCGTTCAGAGCATTGCCAATCTAAAATGGCTGCTCAGTAATACTTTAATTGCAGTTTCATGGAAACAAATTGCCATTTAACTGCAATAAGCATTTCTGTGACTTGGCTGGACTGACAATAGGTGAGTCTTCGTAATAAAGCCATAAGTAACATTAACTTGTAAATGGCCTGTGTTCCCAATGGCCTCTCAAACAGAGTCACATGTGTGAAAGCATCCAGGATAGAATTCCCCTGTGGAAGGTGCAGGGGTCTTTGGAACGTCTCTCAATTTAAATACAATTATTTAGGCTACATGGAAACTCTTCACTGGACTCTTGATACACAGCTCTTGAGTTCATTGTGTTTGGTATATAATTTATTGGCCCTAAGAAATATTTTACACAAATAGTAGTGAACATTGGAATCTTGGTATATTGACATTTAAAGCTATATAGGAGTTTCATCTTAAATGATTAGGTGTTTCAATTATCAGTGTTAATAAGGGCAAAAGAAAGAATTTAAATGCAGTTAACATTAAGGGGATGACAAATTCGCAGGCTTCATTTTGGTGTGACAGTTTTCTCATTTTGAATTTTCTAAGACACTACAGTCGATGTCAAACTATTTCCTAATAAATCATGAAGAGGTGAAAATAATTTCTAGCGGCAAACGATTTGGTTTGGAAAGGATTCGGGTTCCCCTGCCTTGTGGGATGTGCAAATCCAACAAGACAGATAGGTAAAAAACATTAAGCTCTTTTAGAGGACAATCTTTTGACCAAATCGTTTCATTCGCAAGAGTGACAATTTACATGATTGAGACATTTATATGTATCATGGACAGCTTATTTTTTTGTTTTCTATCAGTTCAGCAGGGCGCGGTAACATTTGCTTCGAATTGTACTTGCTTGTTAGGACTGGGGGCCATCTTGCTCCAACGACATGGTCCATATTAAATAAGTCCTTTCAAAAGAACGGCATCCATTTCACTCACGAACAACGCCACAAATGCAATGGAAGAAAGGTAGAATAAGCGCCTATTTTTTTTTTCCTAAGCAACGTTGAGGCTGAGGGAGGAACTGCACACACAATCACCGCTCACATCAGAATAAACCCGAGTGTTTTTAGTAGCTTTTCTATCTACACAGAGCATTCCCATTAGAGCTGGGTTTTATTGTTTGAAATGCCTCTGGTTTCAAGAAAGTGTTTTACCTAAAGCAAGACGACTACTTAAATATGTTCTATTGTATATTCATAGCTCCATTAGTCCTTCTCCAATTTAGCACATCAAAGGGAAGGTTTCATCACTTGCATGTGGATTATACTAACTTGAGTGACATTTGTAATCTTATAGGTCTGCAACTTAAGAAATGCTTTTAGAAGCTCATTATTAAATACATAGCAGTGCTTGAGGAACCAGCCATGTAATAGTTCATTTAAAACCTGTAACGACCTTAACCCTCCCCATCACTAAATGCCACACTGTATTACTTACTAAAAGTTATTAGCCACCTCTTTTGAATTTCTATACTATATAGGACATGCGTGCTTATGCCAAAGAGAATATAGAAGATGCTTGCAATCTTATTAACGCATCCTCCACCCCCCACCCCCCCCCCGCCCCTTTACCATGCAGGAAGAGTCTGACTTCCTTCAGAAAATTTCTTGAAGAAAAAAAAAAACCAGAATGCGTCTGAAAAAAATTCTCCAAGGATCTAATTCAAACAGCTATTATGTATGTGATGTCATCTTAAATTTTCCTCATTTTTCCTTGTTTTATTTTTATAAAACTCTAACAAAACTCTTCATTTCGACTCAGTGCCTTAAAATTTTCCTCCAGGAGGTTTGAAAGTTTGAGCAACTAATCTTTTTTTTTTTTTTTTTTCCTGACCTGAAATCTATGAAAGCAGAAAGTTTTCAAAGGGAAGATGCTGGCTATTAATTGAGATATACTGAACTATACCTCTCAAAATGACCAAGCGCTGTTCTCAGAGGAAAGGTCTCCATCAGGGGCTTTTCTGAAACAAAGTCAATGCCATTTTTAAAAAGAAAATGTAAACCAGCATTGTAAAACACATCTGGTTTTATTAGCCTGTGTTAGATGCTGCAGTTGAGATCTGCTCCTGTCTAAGGAGGCTGGCCAGGCCCAACATCTAGGCCCATCTGATATTCTCCCAGCACCAGCCATGGGGTCCAGAGTCCTCCCCTCCTAGGATTCCCTTCACCGGGGCAGCTCTGCGGGCATTGAGGGTGCCGTTGTGGACACGCCACTGCTACAGCTAGCAACTCAGTATCTCAAGACTACTACTAAATGAAACCATAATCCTTCCCCAACAAATATATGGAAAGACAGAGTCAGGAGAGAAGCAGAAGAGCAAAACAAAATGAACCTATCTTACAGTGACCACAGGCGTCTAAAAGCTCACCAGGAAATGGCAGCTTCACCCACAAAGATCACTTTATAAAAGAGCTCTGAGTCCCTGACAACTAATGAAATTTCAAAATCTGTAAAGGTATGATTTAAAAATGCTATTTCCTCCAAAAGCTATGAACTTGATCAGAGAACAAGATGGTTATGCCTTATGTACATGCTTTTCGTCAATACCCAAGGCTTTCCTTTTGAGAAAAAAGAAGTAAACAAAATAGCAGAAGAAACAAACAAGTATTTATATGTAAACCCAAAAGACTCACTGAGATATAGAAGTGTAACGAAGTGCTGTTAACAGAATACCCTGAACTTATAAAAGCGTCTCTGCTAGGAACATTGCTCCGTATCCCTGCCAGTAACAGCATGGTTAAGAAATTTGAAGAATACCTCATTGGCCTAGCGCTAAATAAAAATACAAACCATCTCCCTCATCTCCTGAAATTTAGAGTGAGCGTGTTCTCGAACTGCAACAAAAATAAAAACAACTAGATTTTCCCAAAATACAGAGGAGAAAAAAAGCAGTGCTTAAACCCAAACGCCATTGAATAATTTTTCTTTTAAGTTTTTATTATTTAAATACACCATACTAGAGCAAATGTCTCTGAAAATATCACAAATAAAAGATTTTTTTTCTTCATTCAGCAAATTAGAAGTAGGGGGAATTTTCTACACAGTAGCTGCTATGAGCCTGACTTTTTTCCAATTTTTTTTTCTTTTTTTCATTCTTTTTTTTTTTTTTCTCTTTGCCATGGGAGTAGCAACATTAGGACAAAAACACTTACATGCATACATACATTGTATTTTACAGAGATACAATAAAAGTGTTTGTGATAGAATATCACAAAAGCCACATCTCTTTCCTTTATCTCATGTTCAGTTTTGATTGAAACACGTTTCCTTACAACACTTAAATATACAAAGAGCAAATAGAATGTTGTTAAGGTAAAACACAGGGTACAAGCTCTGGCCAGTGCCCTGCTAATTGTTAATGAGGGTAGAAAGCAGATTTGAATGCTTCTTGTAATTAGCTTCATTAGTCATTCCCCTCCCCCCAAGCTCCCTCCCCCCCCAAGATGTCCTCTGGTGGATCCTTTTTCATTTTCTCTAGTCTCCCATTAGCCCAGGTTCATGGAGTCCTTAATGTTCATATTCAGTCATTTTAATACACCAATAAATGCGGGAAGGGCAATCAAGACTAAAGAAGGTGTGATGGCAGGAGCTGGCACTGGTGCTAGCTACAAAGGTGACTTGTCTACTGAAGACACATGGGATCCACCTGTGATGAGCAAACTCTGAGATGAAGGCACGCATTCTGCATTACTCTGACCTTTTAGCAGACCTGCAAGACATAAAAACGGGCATCTTAGCTAGAATGCTCAATCTGAGAGAGATGACACTCAAACATGACTGCTTTTGTCTTCTCCACATTCACTAATCTTCTTTTATTAGATTACTTTCCAACTGTGACTTGATGGAGGCTTTCTACGCTACTTGCTCCGGCAGTGAAGGACTAAAGCCTAACATTTTCTGCAGGTTTACTAGCAGAGAAAATGAGACCATAAATGGACCCTCAGGAAGTTTCTGGTATAAAGTTCTACAGTGAATTGCTTAACTCCGTGAAAAAAGCGAGTTTCTCTCCAAAAGGAATGAACTGTAATGTCTTGCTCAGGAGTGGAAATCTTGAACTTTGTTCGAATACGGGGGCATTCCGAGCCCAGGTCCCACTGGGAAGATCTGGGCTGATGATACCCTCGGCCGGGTAACCTTTCTAGCAAAACACTGAAACTGTCTCAGTTTCCTCATCTTTAAGATGGGGATTAGAAGGTGGTTGTGATCATTATGTACCTAGGGAGCACTTTCAACAGTGTCTGGCCCTTAACCTTAATAAAAGCTGAACAGGCCCGGGCTCGGTGGCTCAGCCTGTAACCCCAGCACTTTGGGAAGCCAAGGTGAGGGAACTGCCTGAGCCCACGGGTTCGAGACCAGCCTGGGCACCTTGGTGGGACCTCATCTCTACAATAAATCAAAAAATTAGACAGGTGTGGGAGCACTTGCCTGTAGTTCTGGCTACTTGGAAGGCTAAGGCAGAAGGCAATGGGGTGGTGTGAGCATGCCACTGCATTCCAGCCTGGGCAAACACGTATCGGCAGTTATTATCTTTTCTGATGTGTGACACCTATTTATCCATATTGATTCTACCTATAGGCTGTGTGTCTATATATGTATGAAACATTATATGTACAGATATTCACATATTTTTCACTGAATATGTCCTATCTGCTATGTCACTTTAAGTTATGTAAATACTATACATCTATGAATCAATATACGTAATGAGTTAATGACGTGTGATAGATTAAAGAACATAGTTCACTGCGAGTCTAACTTCAGTATCTTAAATGGAAATCCACATAGTCATCAAATACAATCTGTTTGCAATTACCAAAATGAAATAATATATATTAGGTTTTTACGGTTTTTAAATGATGTTTTGAGCTTCCCAGGAAGTTCTTGGTTCACCCTTTCTTTAACTTACTAAAAGCCTGTAGTCTATTAGGAACTGCAACCAACCCCCCACTACCAAGCTAATTAAAGTGGTGGAGGCTTAATTCCCCAGAGTGGAAGCTCAGTGTGAGAAAGGTAATTTGTCTGTCCAGAACAAAGATGTGGCAGCAGCCAGCAAGCATATTTAATAAATGAGCATCAAATGTCCTCTACGATGGACACATACAACACCAATTATGTAACTATGGGGGAACAGTGAAGTGATATGTAAACTAGAACACTCACTGGACTTGCCTCCAACTAAAGAGATGTGATCTAACTCTTAATTCCACTGGAAAGCATAGATAATTCTAGAAGGCACCATCACACACTTTTGAGTGGGAGAAAAAACAAAAAACATAAAAACTCCAGAGCAGGCAGCAATCTACAAAAGAAAAAATTAGCCACAATTCCTGACTTACAGAACTCTCGAGAAGGCAATATACTCCTGAGGCTAGCCAAGCCTCCTTTCAATGGTAGGGGCTATGGGATTTTGGAGATTCTTGAACACTAGTGGCCTGAGATTTCAGTTCATCTGAAATCCGAGATTATAATCACGACACGATTTAAAAGCTTACAATTGTTTTTCTCAGAATATACAAAGGGCAGTCATGCAGCATAACTAAGCTACACAGCCCAGACACTGGAAACAAATTTCAGGAGAATAAAAGTTTAAAGAGACTGATGGGGGGGAGCCTATACTTTCCATACAATTAACTGCCTTTAAAGTAAGGATGTACAAATAATCAACTCATTACTTTTAAGCCAGACGATGCTCGAGTATATTTATTATGCATAACGCACTGAACATGTAATTGCTTCTGCGAATAGAAGGAAAACGGCCAAAATAAATGTCCAATTTTCCCTACCAAAAATATGGAGAGTGAGTGAGAAGAAAACAATAAAACGGAGCTATTTGTCATTTCTCCCCATCTCATCGCCTCCAGAAAAGAAACGCCACAGGGTTTTGGGAAAACAATTTTCAAGCATTCTCCAGGTCCAAAAAGCAGTTTATGTTCCACTAGGAAGTGTGTTTTCATTAACTCTCCTCCTTGCCCTCTCATTAATATCTCTCTGGACCACGTTCAGCTTGCCTAAAACCTTTATTTACAAAAACTACCTTGTGAATTGACTGTGCTCATGGTGAGCTGAGCACCAAGGGCAAAAATGTGAGACATTTATGCCAACAGGGAAATGTCCTTAATTATCATCACCCCCAAAACACAGCTTCTCACCAATGCCTGACAACGACATATCCTTAAGTTATACTTCCTTGTGCCTTTTAAGAGCTATTAATTTTTGAAGGCCACCTGCCCCTTTTTTGGCTTCCAGCATTAAGAAAATATACAGGAGTAGTTTGTTATTCATTGCCTAAAATGTATTTAGTGTTCCAAAAGAAACACCCTTCTCACCGCTGTCCTGAAAAGGTGTAGGAAACAGAACACTTCTATGAAAGACACAGTACATGACATCTCATAAACAGATAAAGCCAGGCTTTTCTCCAGTTTTCCTGCCTAACACCGCTAAGCCCATGTCACCTTCTACTCAAAAAGATGGTACTGAATCCCTGCTCATATTTCTTATGCACTTAGTCCCTAGCTAACATTGCTGTTGCCTGTATTCAGCGCTTTACAATCTGGCTACATTTTCAGTCTTGTCTCTGCAGTCTTCCGATTTACCATGCATGTTGGTGAGCTGCAACAATTATTTTTCTACACAGTTCTTTGCTAAGACAGGGAAAGAAATGGTATAAAACCGGTAACACATAACTTGAGGAAAAATTAAGCCTTTACACCTTGGAAGGGGTGGGGTTCTACCATTTTTTTCCTAGTACTTTTTTTTTGCTACCAAGTTAGCAACATCATTTGTACAAATGGCTTTGCCTCTATTTTGAAATAGTATCTTGAAATATTTATGTTAACCCCTCTGTTGTTCTCAACTCTGCCCTGAATTCACTTCATTAGAATCCAAACCATAAAAATCTGTAAGTAAGCCGGGCTCGGTGGCTCAGCCTGTAATCCCGCACCTTTGGGAGGCTGAGGTGAGTGGATTGCCTGAGCCCGCGGGTTCGAGACCCGTCTGGGCAGCAAAACCTCATCTCTACAATAAATCAAAGAATCAGCTGGGTGTGGTAGCGTGCACCTGTAGTTCCAGCTACTTGGAAGGCTGAGGCGGAAGGATCGCCGGAGCCCAGCAGGTTGAGGCTGCGATGGCCGGAAGCAGCCACTGCACTCTAGTCTGGCCGACAGAGTGAGACTCAAAAAAAAAAAGAAAAAAATCTGTAAGTATTTATACGTATTGGCACTCCTTAAAGAAGCTTGAAATGCCTCATCAGTAGTGACTGGCTAATTTGCAGTAAAAAAAAGTGAACCTTTATTCTTCAAATGGTTATTCTATGCAGTCTCCTAAAATAAAAGTGCACATGATTTCATGTAATTAACACTTAATAAGAAATGGAAAACATTTAAAATTACACCATAAACTTAAGAAAAAAGGACAAATAGAAGCATTCATATATGGCAGTATAATTTTAAATAGTTAAAAGTTTTCAAATATTTATCAATCCTCCTCCTACTACAGCATTAAGGAAACGCACTATAGAAGACAAAGGAGACTTTTTCCCCCGAGACTTTTGAAGCTTGCTAAATTCCTATTTGCAGATAAATGTTGTGTGTGTGTGTGTGTTTTTTTTTTTTTGTGATCCTTACAACAGACATTAATGAAGTTCCTATTGTAAATCCATAAAGAATTACCAAGTGAAGTGTGCACTTTTTGTTTCAATGCAATAACTCAGTGCTGTGTGATTGCCTGGGTTAATGATGAAAAAGTCAAACATACTCTCAGAGCTGATGGAAAAATCTATCACCAATCTGAAATTAAAATTCATCTGTGGTCAATAAGATTTAATATCCATGCAAGTGGCGCTGTAAAGAGTAAATGAATCAATGTCATCAATACATAATCAGTATGAAATATGATGTGAATAAAATTATGCAC